TTTTGTAAATAAATGACTTTAGTTTGGTATCTTAATAAAAACTAATTTGCTTTACTGTTATATTCAATCAATAAACAAATTGAAAAGAAATCACCCACAAATCCTCATGTGGAAATAATTTTTTTGTCGCCATAACTGAAAGAGTTTTCTCTCCCTGTTCTTCCACCTGTTGCTGCTTTGTTACTAAACTCACTGAAAACAGGCGAATTCTGAGGTAATAAAACAGGAAGTGGCGATTTTTCCCACCTCATGGTCTGTCGGGATCACTGATAGCAGAGTGACTGCTGAACTGCCACTGTAACAAGCTAATGATGAGTGGGCGTGGTGCTGAAGACTGATAAACATCTCAGCCTATCAGACGGTCCCCAGAGAGATCACAATAACAACAGTACAACTCAACAGGTCCCAGAGGAGCAGAGGGGCGTGTTTCAATTAGAGAAAGCTGAGTATGTGTGTGTGTTTGTGAGATGCTGGCTTATCCTCGGTTCCCACCTTAGTCTCTCTGTTTTCACACAGTTTATCTGATCAGGTGTCAATAAATCTGCTGAAGACCGTCACTAATTTTAGCTAAATCAACCTGCAGTTATTGTTCACCTGCTAGAAATATGGCTGCACCTCCAGTTTCCAGCAGACACTGTGATAGTGGGAAACATGACATCAGAAGATCCAACTAAATGGACAGATGTAAGATTATTGTTCTGAGCATCGAGGGGCAGTTTCAGATCGAGCTGGATCAAAGGTTTCTAAGAGGGCGGAGCATGGAGCCCAAAAACGCTTCATGGATCCAAAGCAGGATCCAGAGGATAAAGCTGACATCATCAGAAGTCCAATACATCAAGATGTGTTAGCTGAGAGATTAAAAACCCAAGACCCAACTGGCTGACACGCACTAACTGCTTACTCAAATCTACTCGATTGAAGGATCATCAAGTGTGAACACGTGTATAAAACCAGATGTTGACACTTTGCTGGCCTGCAATGCTCAGAGAAACTGCAGGAAACTGATGCATCTCAGACTCAAAACTGTGTCTGAACAAACCACAACCTGGAATAATGTCCTTTGCAAAGATGAGGCCGAAGTGCAGAGGACCAAGTTTGGTGAAAACCAAACACAGCATATCAGCACAAACACCTCAATCCACCTGCCAAGTGGGGTGATGGACAGGTCATGATTTGGCTCTTCTTTTGGAGCCACAGACCTGAGCACCTTGTTCTCATGAGTTAACCATGAACTCTGGTCTGTCAAACGTGAGGCCATCTGTCCAACAGCTAAAGCTTGACTGAAACTGACCCATGCAATGTGGAAATCATCCCAAACACACAAAGAAGACTACAAAGCAGCATTAAAAACTGAGATTTTATATGAACCTTCTGAGCAAGATAGCATTTACACGTCCATATGTTTGTGAGCTGCTTAGCTTGCAGAGTACACCA